ACAAGATAGGAGATTATTGTTAGGTGCTGTTGAGTTGACTATGACCCACAGCAACTCTATGAACAATGGCTCTGAACCCTGCCCAATCCTGAGCCAACCTTACCATCTCTGACACATATTATGTCATTGCCACAGTCACTGTGTCAATCCATCTCATCTAGGGTCTTCCTCTTCTGCACTGAAGAAGGAAAACATCTTAACTGGCCAGGTCATGAGGACTGTCTGAAAGGTGCCAGGTCCCTGACCTGTGGCTCTAGTGTCCCCTACACCAGAGATCTGAGCATGAAGTAGAAAGGAGAGTCATGTGGACATGGGGAGGTTCTGGAGTTCATAGCCTGAAACTAAAAAAAACAATGTACTAAATTCTTAGTTATAATGGTTAGTGTAAGGTTTCTTAAAATATTCTTTTAAGTATTTAATCTTCCTGTAGGGAAGACCTGAAAGAAAGGTCATTTTTTAAATGTTTTTCTTGCTTACTTGATTCTTCCTCTCATACATAAGATTCTTAAAGCCCATTTTCATGTTGAAATAAATATTATTTCTAAAAGGCTTATGTGGTGTAATACTGTACATTCCGTATGAGAATGAAGTTTACCTCAGATCTCTTTTCTCTACATGCTCAAAGTATGTATGTGTGAAATTCCTTTTATTAAGTTTCTTTAAAATAAAATATGAATACGTGATTAGTCGTACAGGTTCAAATTATTTTTTTGTTTTCCCCCCCTTACCTCCCTTCCTCCTTTGACCAAAACAAATAGTACTTAGCATTCTGGAAGGTTCTCTTGCTTCATCAGTATGCAGCACGTACTAGCAATGAATCTTTTATAAAGCATTCCATCCTCTGCAGACAATATCTCTCACTGGAGACTAGCTTTTCAAAAAGATGCAGCATTGCTTTTTCAAGACTGGGAAGATGACGAAGCCAGAGGCAGACTGTATACAATGTGGGCAGAGAAATCTTCTTCCTTTCAGGGAGAAATATAATATTAATGGAAATGAATTAGAGAAAGAAGACTTGTTATTGTTGTATACTATACAGTCGGAACCAACCCATAGCTGACCCTCCAGTGAGTTTCCAGAGTCATTTAATTGCAGAGGAGGAGACTGCACATCCTTCTCCCATGGAGCAGCTGGTGACCTTGAACCACATGTCTTTGAGATTGTGGCACAATTTCTTGCCACTAGGCCAAAATGCAATTACTAGTCCAATGTATAAAGCTTCATTCTGTTGAGCAGCAATTAATATCCATGAGTATTTACCATGTGTCCATTTGCAAAATAATATGAATATACTTCCACCAAATTTACCTTAATAATTTAGTGAAATGCTCAGAAAGAGGAGTAGAAGCCTGTCAAGAAGACACAAGTATATTAAGATGGATGAAAAAGAAAATGATAAAAACTGAGATGGTAAGGGCCTTGCTATACTCTGTAACTGCAGTCTTAAGCAAGGTATCTGTTTCAAAGTCCAATAGAATGGCTTAAGTGAATAGTCAGGTCTAGGATTAACTGTCAATACCCACCCACAACTACACAATCTGGTAAAGTTATTTAATATCTAAATCTATATTCTTATCTGTTAAAGGGTATTACAGGCCATAAAAATATTCATAAAAATCTTACTAAATAAATA